AAGAAAGCACAGAGATCAGTGTGCTACCTGTTGGTGTACCTGCCTGAGGGCTGGATTCTGCTGTGTAGCAGTACATGTACAGTAATTAAGGACAGGAAGAGTTCTGTCCTGCTAAAACACCAGATTTGAGGACAGATTGAGACATACATGAGTCATGTTTGGTTGGGACACGTCAGTTTTCACCCACATGCCTGGTTCTTTCTGTTTGTCAGATAAATGGCAGACAGTTTGTGATATTCTAATGTCTGGTGCTCTGGTTATGGGAGTCTAAAGGAACAGTTGCATCTTAAAGCACCGCAGTTACGTGCTGTGCCGTGATGTGTTGGATGGATGAGCATCAACACTGTCCCATCTTCCAGAGTTCTAAAGTTAAGGTTCAAACAGCACGAGGGTTTGACTGATGGACAACTGTTCCCTTTCCTGAGTCACTGGTGGAATTGTTTCAGCTGCCTTCTCCTGTGGGTAGCTGGGAGTATTGCTTCAATTTGAAGAGAATAACAGCATTAATAGCTCTCATTTTTTACAGCTGCATCCATGGAAATACTGATCTGCTACGATGTGCTGCACAAAGCTGAACCTGTACCTCTGCTTTCTTGCAGGTATTTGCTGTTCTATCACAAACAGTTCCTGGAGTATGAATAGCCTTATCCAGCAGCTTGTCAGATATAAACAAGGAAGAAAATAAGCAAGCCTTCTGAATCGACACACAAACCTACCTGAAATAAAAAGACCCATTGAAAAACAACTAGCACTGAGCTGTAACAGGACCTACTTGACACTGGCTCCAAGCCTGGCGGAGTGAGAAATGAACAATGTCCACCGTGTGTGCGGTCCCGCAAGGACAGCAAGGGGGAAAAAGGAGGCTGCAGTCAGTCACTTATCAGAGGAAAAATACAATGAAAGGAATGCTCTGGGTGGGGGAAATGGGAGCAGAGGAGTCCGGGCACTGGTACATCTCCTATGTTCCTCCAAAACGTGTGTGGGAAGGCGAGGGGGTGTACTCTCATCTCCATAAAGCATCTTCTCCATTGGTGCTTCAGCTCCAACGACCAATCATATAACAGTTAAAATTAAAAAAAAAAATAAAAAAAAATCCAAGCCCATTTTTTATGCATATGGATCTGAAAGCAGTAGAGTGGAGGAGGAGGGAATGACACAACTAAAGGACTTTGCAAGTATCTTTTTATTTGTGAATTTTAGTTATTAAATAAATACAGTATGAAACTATTAGGCTCTTTTTTTTCCACCAACAAAAGAAACCCTGAATTGTGGAACTGAAGCTACAATACAGACAGGTTTCCAAGCATGCCTGCTTGCACAGGTAATGTTCAATGCCATCGGACTGCTCATCCAAAGCATCAGCACAGATTCGTTTCTGTTTGAGCCCTTTGTTTTGTTTTCTATAAATAGCTATTTTCTTAATTTTTTTCCTTTTATTCCCTTTTTTTTTTTTTTTTTCCACAAGAATGAAATTCATAAATGCAACCATCAGTAAAAATGACTGAATCGCTGTGTTTATACTGTAAGAGTGGTCTGGGTTCTTTTTGTTTTCTCAATGTTGTGGACGCTTGAATTTCTCAAAGTCACTTGTTCTGTTATTGCTGCTTTTGGTTGATGCGTTTTTGGTTTGGTTTTGGCTTTTTTTTTTCCCCTGTTGCTTTCCAAAGGCGTGTATCTGTGTGATACTTGAAAGAAGCTCGGTATTGACAAATGTACCATCTGTTGGAAATGGTTGCTGCTGGGGGCAGCAGTGAGCGATAGATCTGCTGCTATTGAGCACTTCTGCAGTGCACTGGGTTTTTAAGTAAACAACACGTTTTCCTGGTATGTGCTAGGCTGGTATTGGTTCCTTGTACCCTCCCACATGTATTAACTCCTCGCGTGCTCTTCTCTTTGCAGCCTCCCTGTCCGTGCCCTTAGCTCATAGCAGCTGGTGCACCAGCTTGCTTTTGCTTTGTCACAAGCGCAGTTTTGTTCCCTTTTCTCTCCCATTTAAAGCAGCTCGGTGGCCCGTCTGGATAGCAGCAGTGACTGCTGGTGTGCTGTGTCTTGCTCCCAGGAGGCCGCGCTGCGGATTGAATTGCAGCCCATGAGAGAAACCATTCAGAACACAGAGCTAAAAAGAGCAAAAATAGCATTGCTCTTTCTTCCTTACGGAGCCTGGAGAGAGCTGTATTGAGGGTTAGGCATCGCATCCGTCGGTGTAAGGGCCCTACTGAAACGAGCCTGAGCCCTGTGCGTGTATCCAAGCAGCCAATGCTGGACTTAAATGCAGCAGTTACAAACGTGGATGTGTTTCATCTTTTAGATGTGGTGCTCCAGAAATGGCTCTGGGGGTCTGACCTGCGTGAGGGGTGCGAGGAGGGCAGCAGAGCAGCAGGCATCGGAGGAGGATCAGTGAAGCCCACTTTGTTTTTTTCGATGAGCATCTGACCAGAGAGAAGCCACACAAAAGGATGCTGGAACTGCAACTGAACTGCACGCAGACCAGAGAGCACGAGGTGCTTCGGTACAGCGCGAGATTGCTGCGACAGCTTGCAGGAGGGAAGGGAGAAGCAGCCGCTGATTGAAGCTCCCTGAATAGCAGCACAGCGAGCAGCCCGTGTGGGAGCACTGATCGCTACGGCAGCGATGGCGTGTGCTGGTTTCGTAACCCGTCTCCCCTATCGGCATGCTGGAAATAACGCCGGGTTGTAATAAGACGTAACTCGGGTGCTCTTGTCACCGATGAAAAATGGCTGGAGAAATGCAGATGAATGGTGCAACCCGCAGGACGGGGGGGGGGCTCCCTCCCTTCCTCCCTGAGCTGGGCACAGCACCGTGCAGATGCTCGGCGACGTTTTCTGCTGCCGTTTAATAATGCAGCAAGCTTGCAGAGGGAGCCGAGGAGCAGCCCTTCGTTATTCCCATGGCTGCAGCCGCATCCCCGCCTGCTCCCGCTGCCGGAGGAGCAGTGCCACCGCGCGGCTGAGCCCCAGTGCTGCTTTCTCTGTTGTGCTGGGGCTCACGGGGGCTCTCCGTCCACCCTTTAGAAACAGACTGCATAGGGATAAGGCCAACTAAATCAGCCTCATTTTTCACCCCCACCCCCCCAACCTCTCTCAGCTGTTTGGAGCTCTGCAGGTGGCTTTCAGTGGGAGATGGGGAGTGAAGGAAGTTTCAGGACTCTGTTTTGGTTTCAGGAGCACAACTCCTCTGTATGAGATGCTGTTCTCTCTCCCCAAGTCCCTCTTTGGGTTGTACCCTTCTGCTTCCAGCAGTAAATCAGCACAGGTTGTTGGGGAAGCAGAGAGAATTTTCCTCCTCGATAAAAATGGAAGAATGGCTGCTGCTGTACAAGCAGCACAACCCCTCCTTATGGTTCTCCCATACACAGCCTTTGCCTCAAACACTGAGGAGCAGCCACAGGGCTTATTCACTACAGAACAGGGAGGCTTCTCTGCAAAGCTCTGAACATCACCTTTAGGAGCACACTGGCCATGCAGCACGGTGCTGCTGGGCTGATCCCGCGTTGCCCCCCAAGTGCTGCCCACTGCTGCAGCCATCGGCCCTGCTGGGGCATTGGGGCTGAATGCTTTGTGCTGAGGTGATGAGGTTTTGTATCAGCACAGAAAGCTCGCTGTGTTACAGAGAAGCAGCAGAAGAGATGACTGAAAGCTGAGGTTGCTGCTAATGCTGACGTATCTCCTGCTCACACACAGCGATGGCTCCGTGCAGCACAAAGCAGCTGGAACATGGCTGTCAGTGGGTTCTCGTTGCTAGAGGGGCAGCTTTCCGTGCTGCTGGTACCTAATGAAAACTGGAGCAAAAGCAGCATTGCGAGGAGCTGCTTCAACCCCCATGGGATGCTCTGGCTCAGAGTCAGTGTCTGTAATTCCCATGTGGTGCCAGGGTTTGACTGCTGGCCCCACTTACAGTGCCTTGCTGATACAGGAATGCTGCCAGTGTGGTGGAAATCCATTGGTTTCTCCCAGTTCTCCAGCATCCAACTGCTCTATCTAGGAGCCTGCATATATTCTTACTGCAGATTAGACCAATTTGCTCCCTGTTACCTTTGCTGATAATTCTATTTATATTTCCAGGTGGGGAGGCCACGTCTGATGGTGAGGAATGTTCCCCTCCTGCTTATCAGGGTTGGAAGGAAGGAGCTGGCTGTGGGTGTGTGCATTCCCTGCTTCCTGGGGCACAGATTTTGGCTCAGGGGCTGCTGCCCTCATCCATCAAGCTGGGGCTGGAGGAGGGTTGGGAAAGGAGGCTGGGAGCCGAGAACCAGCTGAGGATCAAAGGAGGGGAAGCTGAAGTGGTGCAGAATCTGAGCAGTGCCCAATGGGGGGAGTGAGGAGCTCACCACGAGTGGGGATGAGGAGCTTTGGGTCAATGGAAAGGATGTGAGGGGCTGATGGAGGCAGAGCAAGAGCTGAGGCTGAGTGCTAACACAGGCAGAAGTGCTGTGCAAGGTTGGAAGGGAGCTGGGGGCTGAGGAAGGTTTTAGTTTGAACAGAAAAGGCTGAAGGATTTGGTGGGGGGGAACCAAGGAAGAACTGAGGTATTAGAGTAGAGGCAGAGCTGAGGCTGAGCGAGAACAGAGGCTGCAGGTGTTGGTGGGAGGCTGAGGTGGCTTTGGAGCTGTGGAAGTACCACGTCTGTCAGGGTGGGAGGACCAGGCTGTAAATGCAGAACCACACAGATCTCATCCCACCCCCAAAAAGGAGGAGGCCGAGAATTGCCACGTTGGTTGCCGGAGATGGACTCAAGCTTTGCCCTGCTTACCAGCCATGAGGCAAAGAGAGGCTGTCAGTGCACCTTCAGCCTCCCATTGCTCATTCCACTTACCATGGGTTCCTCGTGGCCCTGGTGCTCGTGTGCTCTGTGAGTGCATCGCAGCAGCAGCTGTGCTGTGCTCACCCTGGTGCTGCCTGCCTGCCTTAGTGCTGAGACATGAAAGAAATGCATAGCAGGGCACAGGACTGTATCTGCTCATGGTTTCTCCAGCTGTTTATTTTCCCATCACCAATTCGTGCATCTGATGACACTCCCATGTATTCTTTCAAGTCTCAAGTTCTGGTCTAAGAAACTCAAGGCCTTGAATCTCCTCTTGAGAGTCGTTCCTCACCAAGCAAAAGCCCCACACCCCCCTTTAGTGAGAACTTAGTTACATGCACTGAACCCGCCGTTTTCCATAGCAGCTTTTGAGCATCACCGTTCCCAGCTCTGTCAGGCAGCCCCACCAGCAGCAGACCAAAACTCAGAGCACTTCAGAAACTTCTCAGCCTGGGATGGCTTTTCATATCAGAACCCCATTCCAGCAGTGCCCAGCACAGCTCCTCTGTTCTTGCATGTGAACAAAAGCTCAGTTAAAGGTGGAAGATGAGAGTGTGGCAGCGGCAACGGCTGCGCATCGATTCCTTCGGCGGAGGCAAAGTGGTGCTGATGGAGGAGCTGGGATGAGCAGCCCCTGACCGGGATGCACAGAGGTCGGGCAGAAGGATGGAGTCACTGCTAACCGGGAATTCGGGTGAGTGGAAGAGAACAGTCTGTGGCCTACAGCCCTTGTGCAGAAGCTGTGCTTTGTCCGCCCATCCTGGTGGAAATGGGTGCTGGAGGCAGAGGGTGAAGCAGCTGTGGTCCAGCAGCACGGGGAGCAGCCCTCCTTTCCGGCCCCGTTCAGGAGCGCTCCCCACAGTCACACCATGGGCGTCTTCTCTTGTGAAGGGGAGCATATGATTTTGAAGTGGCCATCGTTGGGGCTGGGGATCGCCCCGGCACTGCCTGTGCTGCATATCCCAGTGTGAGAGGCAGCAGCTCGTTCCCCTGCATGGCAGGAGGGGCTGTGGCAAGCTTTGGTCTCCTGCACAGCAGAGCCGTGGCCGGGGAAGCAGAAGCCGCAGGTTTCCACCGGCTCTGAGACTTTGCTGCCCGTGGATCCCTCACCGACGCTGCCTGCTTCCACCAGGTGATCTGCAGATAGAGGCATGAAATTCTGCAGAGCAGCACCACAGCCTGCAAGGAGGCAGTGCTGGAAGCACAGAGGTTAATCACATGCGCTGCTGCTGTGCTTGAAATGCGTCGTCCGTGTTTGTCCGGCTGCCCCAAGAGCAGAGGGATAAATGGGAAAGTGCCTAGGGCAGGAAGGCTGCAGGTGTAGGGCTAAAGCAGCTGTAACATTTATAATGTTACATGCCAGTTGTCTTTTCTTAAGTGCTCCTTTTGCACTGTGTGCAAATGCAGTGGTGCAGTGCTGCACAAGACACAGGGGCTGCTGGCTCGAGGGTCACGCAGCACTGCCTGGGCTGGTGAAATGCTCTGCTCTGTTATCTGAGCTCTGACAACCAAGGTTGAGCACGAGGTATTCAAAAGCAAACAGGAAATCCCTTTTCACCTCTCAGCTGCCCTTAAAAGCAAAGGCTGAACAACACAGCATCCTCAAAGTCCTGCTCCTTCCCAGGCTGTGCGGCCCATTGCTGGGTTTGTTCCCTCCCAGCCTTGTGCACAGCGTGGCTCTGCTTTCAGGTGACAGCTACCCCCGGCTGCCCATCTCCTCCCCGTGCCCCCAGCACTCACCTTTGGCGGGGTCCTCCCGGCAGTGGCAGGTCCCTGTGCTGGCCTGGCAGGAGCCCACCTCCCCCTTCCTCCGCAGGTGTGTCCAGCCCAGCACCAGGGAGCAGACGAGGGCGCAGAGGCAGAGCCCCAGCAGTAGGTACACCACCAGCCATGGCTCCTGTTCCACACAGAGCTTCTGCTCCAGTGCAGCTGCAGGAGGTGATGCTGAGATCAGGGCGGCTGGCGGGGAGTGGCTGGCGAGCAGAGATCCTGGGGGGCAGACAGAGAGCAGAGGGCAGAGAGGCACAGAGCAGAGTGCCCAGAGCTGTGGGTGCCCCATGCCTGGAGGTGCCCGAGGCCACGGATGGACCCTGAGTGCCCTGAGCTGGGGGGGGGCAGCCAGCCCACAGCAGGGGTGGGGCTGCGTGGTCCCTTCCAACCCAACCGTTCTCTGATCTTTAGGGACCATCTTTCCAACCCACATCATCCTATGATTCTCTGATCTTTAAGCTTTTTTCCAATCCAAAGCATTCTCAGATTCTGCAAAACCTTTCTGCTGTGTTGCTCACGCTGTCAGCTTTTTGATAGGGAAAGGATGCTAACAGCGTTAATGAACTCTGCTTGGAGAGAAGCTGGAAGCAGCCCTGCAGCTTGCATTTCTCAGGGCTGGCAAAGGAGATCTTTTCAACCCCAGTGTGGGACTTGCAGCTCACCCAGGTGGGAAATGCAACAGCTGCATGGACTGCAGCCACACCCTGTATCAGAACAAAGGAGCTGTGCTTGCTGCCTCTTCCATCCCATAAACTTGCACCCCTTCCACCTCTCATCCCCCGGCTTACCTCCACATGCTGCATCGCACTGCTTGGGGTGCTGCCCACAAACTGTGCTGCAGTTGATGCATTTTTTCACCAGCTCGTCATAGTAGAAGCCAGCTCTCCTGTTACAGACTGCAGACTCTGCAGGAAGGGAAGGAGTGGAGCAGAGCTCACTCTGAGCACATCCGTGGCCCACTGGGGAGGGATGGGGCCATGCATGTGGGTTTGTATGCAGGGTTTGGGGGCAGTGTGCCTCTGCTCCCCTCCCCTGCCATGCAGAACTCACAGTGCAGCTTTGCACACCTCCTGATTGAGTTTATCATTACATACATAAGCTGCACCTGATGTGTCCCTTCATCAGGTGACAACTGTGGGTTATTGCTGTTAATGCAGCTCCAGAAAGGCTTCATCAGACCCCAGGAAGGAGTAGTGCAGGGACATCACAGAATCGGGATTGGAAGGGCCCTATCCCCTTGACTCCTGCCCTTTAGATATTGGTCAGCACTAATCAGATCCCTCTCAGACTTCACAGCCCAGGGCTCTCAGCCTTTCCCTCGGTGCTCCAGGCCCCCACCATCTCTGCAGCCCTCTGTTGGGATCTCTCCAGCAGTTCCCTGTCAGCCTGGGGCTGGGATCCCAGCCCCGGGCTGCAGATGCAGGCTCCCCAGGGCAGAGCAGAGGAGAGGAGCATCTCCCTCACCTGCTGGCCTCACTGCAATGCACTGCAGGGAACCATTGGTCTCCTGGGCCACCAGGGCACCCTTCCGGCACACAGCCGGCTGTTGGTCAACCACTGGTCGCCCTGCTGGCCACAAAGACGCTCAGCTCTTCCCTGCAGAGCCCTTCCCAGCAGCTCAGCCCCAAGCTGTACTGATGCGTGCAGTTATCCCTCCCCAGGTTACAGGGCTCAGCACTTGTCGTCGTTGAACCTCACAGGGTTCCACTCTGCCCAACTCTCCAGCACATGATAACACAGACAACTCTCTGCTGTACTGCACTGAGCTGCTGCCAGAGCCCACTGCTGTGTTCCCCAGCACTGTGGGGTTGCAATTCAAGGCCCCACTCACCGCACAGCGCTGTGCACCTCCATACAGCCGAGCGCCCGCACATGAGGCTGCAGGGGATGCACACGCACAGGAGGCTGTCCCAGTACTGCTGGTTGGTGCAGTTGTTTATGGTGGTTTTTCCCAGGCACGTCCCATCCATGGCTGTGAGAGGTGAGGGAAAAGTGTGCGGGGTCGGTGCGCCCTGCGCTGAGACCTGTGCAAGGGAACAGCCGTAGTGACCATCGGTACCAACTGCTGAATCGGTTTGTAAGTCTAGAACGTTCTGAATTCCTCTGTGGCCCTGGGGCTGCTCCTGCTGCCCTGCACGTAATTTCTGACATCTCACTTTGGTGTGTCAGCATCATATCGAAACCCACTTCTGATGTGTCGCATTTTCCTAAGCAGCAGAAAGAGAGGCGTCCCTTGGGGGCAGCTCTCAGCAGCACACGGGGGCCCCGAAAGTAGGAGTGCTTCTGCTATTCCCCTCTCTGTGTCTGTGCTCAGGGCTGGGGAGAGCAAAGGGATGTGATGCTGATGGAGACATTGGTGGAAGCAGCAGAAAAGCTCAGGAGGGATGAAAATTTAAAGGATGCTGTATCCCTGTAAGGGTTTCGTTCTTAGCAGCCGTTTGCTGATGTGGGCACCCACATCCCACTGTGGAGCCACAGCTGTTTCCTGTGGGTCGGCTGCTCTGGATATGGGGAGCTGAAATGTTTGAGGCTCTGACATGCAGCGCTGAAATCTGTGCAGTACCTCGGCCGGGGCTGCTGCCTTCATGGAGACACAGTTTGATTTCGGTATAGAAATACCCCTGTGCTCCAGGAAGGGTCTGTGTCTCTGCAGTGAGATACAGCCCCTGTAGTCCCAGTTGTTCCATCCACATTGCTGTGAGCTGGCAGATAGCAATGTCTGCAGCGCAGCATGGCTCAGGCCTGCACTCTCCTCCAATGCACTTTCAGGACTTTTTGTCCCCCAAGAGATGTCTCCCATGGATGGAGGCGAGCTGAGCACTGTCCTGCAAAGCCAGGCCATGCATCCCCCTGCACACATCCAGCGCCCAGCCTCCATCCAAAGCATCATGCGACCATTCCTGCCCCACAGCACCAACCATCCCCACTGCCCCACAGTGCTCTCCTCTCCCTTCCAGCCCCTGCAAATGCAGCCCCCAGGCCAGCAGCCCCACCGAGGGTAACTCACGCTCAGCTCTCCCGCAGTGCCTATTGTGTCCTGGCTGCTGCCATCGTGCTGCCAGCTCCAGCCCTGCGCACTACTCTGCAGGTTTATAATTAGAGGTAGATTTGATTAATGCCTGGGCCATGTGTTTCCTGGGGCTTCCCCTTATCCCTTCGATGCAAATTGGCCACGCGCACAGCGCAGTGCATTGGCTCCTTGAGCTGCTGGGGGCTCAGGGATGGGGGGGAGGCACTGTCACCAGGCACAGAATGGGGATGTCCTGGTCCTGGTCCTCGCAGCAGGGAGAGGTCCCATGGGGTATGCGGATCTGCAGCCTTGGCATCACTCATCTTCATGGGAGCTCTTCTACCAGGGGGAACAGAGCAGAGCTGCGTCAGGGGAGGGCTGGGTTGGGGATAGGAGGAGGCTCTGTGCCAGAGGATGATGGGCATGGAACAGCTCCCAGGGTGTTGGGCTCAGCCCCACACTGCTGGAGCTCAGGGGGCATCAGAGCACTGCCCTCAGACATCAGGTTTGGGTTTGGGTGGTGCTGTGTGGAGCGGGATTGAGATTCCATGATCTGTGTGGTTCCCTTCCAACTCGGGATGTTCTGTGATTCCACAGTTCTACTGAGCAAAATGGACACCCTGGGATGGGCAGCTGGCACTGTGTTGTTGCTTTCCCAAGCTTTGCAGAGGAAAGGAGCAGCGATGTGAGCACGGGGCTGTGCAGCCAGAAGGATGGCACAGTGCGCAGTGCAGGTGGGGAGGAGCGATGCTCCCACCCAAGGGTACCCCCACACTCCATGGGGTCTCTTTAGAAACAGCAAACCAGGCTGGGCAGCTGCTCTTTTCCCCTTTTTCCATTGATAGAACGTTGATTCCTGCCAGTTTCTCCCTGTTTCCCACAGCACTGCAGCACACGGTGGTGACTCAGCTCAGCCCGGGGGATGGTTCTGCAGAAGCAGCAGCTGGAGGGGAAGGAAGGAGCGATACCTGCTACTTTCTATAAACATCAGTGGGGCAGCATCAAGGGTTTTCCGTTCAGCACAAAAACTCCTGCCCTGTGTGACTGGGGCCGTGAGCTGGTGGGGTTGGTGTTGGTGGGATGGAGCTCATCGCCCATGGCAGAGAATGGTGCAGGGGACAGCTCTGCTGGGAGCATCTCATGTCAGGATGGGCGTCCCTGGGGAAGCGCCTGCTGCACGAGTTCCCATGGATCTACTGCTCTGACTCCAAAGCAAAATCTCAGTCAATGGGCTGCGTTCCCCACCATGGGATATTGGAGGTGAATCTGCTCAGAGAGCAGAGCAGCCCAGCACCCCACGGCTGCGTGCAGCCTGCACTGATGCTGCAGCAGGGAAGCTGTGCACATATCACAGCTCTGCACGTGTGGCTGATGGTCAGGGTTATGGTCAGGGTGAGAGCTGTAGGAGGGAAGCAGAGGTACACCTGGGAGACGGCAGCTGCATGGCTGAAATGACGCTATGGAGCCTGGGGAGGAAAATGCGCCCTTTGCTGCGCATCCCTGTGGTTGTTCATGCTGCAGCCTCAGCCCCTGAGCTCGGTGCTCCAGGAGCCCATGGATTGCCCACCTGCAGGGCTGGCAGCAGAGGAAAATGTGATGTTGGCGCTGTGAGTGTGGCAGAGCCAGGCCTGGAGCTACAGCCACATCTCTGCAGCTCTTGGGACTTTGCAGGGGAAACCTGCCTCTGCAAATAGCAGCAGGACACTTGCAGTTTCCACTCTGTGTGCCCTCAAGAGGGAAGTGAGAAGCACTTGGGGGTGCTTTGTCCCTCCTCAGTGAGCAGAGGAAGGCCCTGCGAGCTCAGCTTTAAAATTCTCAGCTCATGCTGTGACTGGGACCTCACTCCCTGGTCGGGTACCTCCAAGCAGCACTGGCCCTCCTGTGGTCTCTGAGGTGGCACACGGCTCTCAAGTGCTGCTGAACACCAGCGCCCAGAGCAATGCTTTCCTGGGCTGTTTTGCTCAGGACTTGCTGCTTTCTGCATTCCCTGTGCTCACATAGGAATGGACCTTGGCCAAGGCATTTCTTGCACACATGCACCCTGTGAGATCCAAAAAAAGGGCTGGAAGGGGGGAGGAGGAGAAGGGGAAGGGGAGACGTTTGGAACCGAAACTGAGCAGAGCACAGATGGTGCCGAGCTCATTTCTTTCACCCTGGCTCCCTGCAGGCACCTCTCGAACGGCCGTGGCCGCGATGCGGGCGGTGCTCCGCGCATCCCCAGGGGACGCCGCTCCGCGACCACAGCGGCACAACATCCCACAGCCGCTCCTTCTGCTGAGCGGCTCCGCACCGCCACCCGCAGCCGAGAGCCCTCGGGGGGACGCGGGGGAGCGACAAGGCGAAGTGCTGCTCCGCACCGGGAGGTGGCAGCCTCGGTTCGCTCTGTTCCGCGCTGCGGTTCCCGCAGCCCCGCAGCCCAGCAGCGCACACAGAAGCGGGAGGTTCCGCAGCCCACGTGCGGCTCGTTTTGCATCACAGCCTCGTTCTGCTGCCGTCGCGTGGGGGCATCGCCATAAGGATGCTCTGAACCCATCCGCGTCTCCGTGCCGCGGGGTCTGACCCAGCAGCTGCGTTGGGTGCCGTCCCAGGGCGAAGGTGTCTCGCCAAAACCCGGTGCAGAAGAGGAAGGTTACCAAAAATCAGGCTGGCTCCCCAAATCTGACTCCATTTGGGGTAAGTGTTCCCTGTCCCAGTGCTGTCACAGAAGCACCGTGGTGTGTGCCATGACCAAAGCACCGTCGATGCGTGCAGCGTTTTCGTGAGCAAATCCTTACCATTGCCCCATCCCACACCCAGCATTCAGGGGGCCCCATCCCGACAGCCCCAGCGAAGGGCCGTTCCCTGCACTGGGCTGAGGGTGTTGCAGGAGGAGGGCTGCTCCTTGCAGGAGCAGGCTTGCAGGATGCAGAGTTAATGCAGTTAATTTTTAATGCTGAAAAACCCTGGGGAAATTCCATGGGGCTGGAGGGAGGCCAGCAGGAGCCAAATGGGGAAAGGGGATAAAAGGGCCGACCCTGGGAATTACAGAGCAGGTAGGGCTGATGGCGATCCCCGGGCAAATGATGGGCTGGGTAACTGGGGACAGTGTCAGCCCAAAATTAGAAACTAAAAATATAATTAAGGTCGTTAGTTTGGTTTCATGGATGGCAGCGCCTGTCGAGTGAGGCGGCTCGGGGTTTGGCACGGCTCTGGGCTGGCGGATCGCTAATTGCGTGCTGCCTAACGACTGTCTGCAATGCAGCTCATTGACGGCCAGGTGATGTTTCCCTTTGTAAAAGCTGCATGATGTGGAGTCACCGGAACACACCTGGGGGCAGCCGAGGGGCTGTGCGTGGGGTGTGCCCTGTGTGGGGAACATCCCTGGTGCTGATGGGGACAACAGGCTGGTGAGCAGCACAAGAAGGGGATGTGATGGGGATCTGCTCTGCCTGGGCACCCAGTCAAAATCTGGGGGGAACAAAAGAGTCAGACTTTCCCCACTGAAGGCAGGAAGCAGCTGTGGGATATGGTCCCTCGCAGCCTGACTGGGAGAGTCATTAACCATTGGCCCAGTTTTAAGAGGAGGGTATGAACTCGCACTCAACTGAATGAGAGGAAATCTCTACTTGCTGGGATGTGGTTTAACCCAGCTCCTGGGCTGTGTGCATGTGTGCAAAGCAGGGGCTGTGCAGGATCCTTCCAGCCCTGTGCACGTTGCACTCTGCTCTTGGCTACAGCAGCTGCAGCTGAGCACTGTGTGTTTCTCCCAGACGTTCATGTGGCTCCTTTGGCTTTCCCAATGGGAAGGCTGGGTGCAGGCTTCAAGCCACCTGGGGGCTTTGCTCCATCTGTGAGGCTGTTTTCACCCACGCACATTTCCAAGCAGCAGTTTTCCTGTGTTAGATGCATGGTTTTGCACGCTGAGCCCTCCCCTGTGCCCTGGGCATCCGTCCGTCTGGCTCCATGTAATGATGGCCAAGTGGAGGTGTGGGGAGACGGGCTGCCCCGGGTCATGCATGCAGAGAAGAGCTCTTCTGGATGTTCCTTGGGCCATGTGTCCCACATCCCCATCCCACTGATGCCCTCACATTGGATGCTCCTGGTAGCACCTCCAGGCAGTGATGCAGCTCTCCTTTGTGCTGGGCATCCTGGTGCCACTGAGTGCCTTTCAGGAGCAGGAGGGCATTGTGCTGCCCATCCCAAAGCAGGACCAAAGCAGGTGAGTAACACCTCTTGCTTGTTTACCTGCTGCTGGGGCTCACTGACTCACGCAGCTCCTTCCCCTTCTGCCACTGCAGCTCCTGACGAATACTTTCCATTTTCCTATATTACTTTAATTGCCCTACTTTGGGAAAACTGCTCCAGACCAGCTCTGGGCTGCCATGCTCCAACCGAATGTCCTGAGATGCAGATGGTGGGGACATGGCATGCAAAGGAACACTCTGTGCCATGGCCGTGCCCATGATACGGTCACGTAGGAAAAGTCATAAGTGATGGATTCTCAGCAGCCCTGCTTGCTGCGCACGGCCGAGGCAGTGCAGCTGAATGCAGACTGACAGGTTCACGGAGAGGCCCGTCCTGTTCTGTGGGATATTTGGAGAGCTGCAGCCAGCCCAGCACCAGCCCCAGCATCACCAGCACCAGTAGCACCAGCAGCACCAGCCGCATCCCCACAAGCTGTCAGCCCTGGCGCCAGGTCACAGCCCCGAGCCACCACGAGCTGGGCTGCACTGCTGGGGATGCCAACCCCATGTCCTGTGCTGCCCAGGGAATCATAGTCCCCGATCTGCCTCAGGGACACACGGTGTCCCCTGCATGGCATCTGGGGACACAGCAGCCCCCTGCAGTGCTTGAATGCACCCCACACTCATCCCCGCCCCGTTTGGGGTGCATGAGGTGTAGGGTGCGCCATGTCCCCATGGACATCGTGGGATGAAAGGAGGGCTTGGAGGCAAAAGAGCTTTTTGAGGACACCATCTGTGCTCCAAGGGGCCGTGTTGGTAAGCACGCATGGTGATGGCATCAGGGATGCAAACACAGAGGGCGTTGCTCCTTGCACGGCAAAGGGCTGTGTGTGTTCTGCTGCGCTGGGATGAGGAGGAAGCTGAGAATCGCACCCAAAGCAGCAAAGCGTGGCGGAGCTCACGGCCCCCCAGGAGCACTGCGAGCAAGCAACGCTGGCAGGGGAGAAAACGATGATTAAAGCATCCTTTGATGAAGCCCCAAATTAATAAAGCAGCGAGCCATCGTGTCGCTCTGTATTTATTGGAGGATGAAGGCGCGGAGCCGGCGCGGGGACCCACATCAAACAGCGGGGCAGCGCCGGGCGGGGATCGGCGGCTGCGTCCCCGTTCTGTCCCCATCCCCAGCCCTGCTTTAGGGCCCTCACCGCCACCAGGGCACGTGAACTCTCTGCTCTGCATCGGGTCACACGACGTTGGGCAAACAGAGGAGATCCTGGGGGCCCCAGGGCGGTGGCTGCACCCTCATTCCTTGCTTTTGTCCCCGCTGCCGCACACTGCGGAGCGTTGGCTGTGCCCCCATTGGGGTGTCCTGGAGGTCGGGGCTGTGCCTCAGGTTGGGGACATCGTTGGGGCGAATGGGTGCATGGCACTCCGTGCGGTACGGCCCCGTACCGCTCCGCCTGGGGGGGGGGGGGCCGCCCACGGGACCGTGCCCCCCCGGACCGGGCGGGCCCGGGGCGGAGAGTCAATATGGGGCTGGGGGGTCACGCGGGGTGGGAGGAGTCCTGGCACAGGGATACTTATGGGGCGGAGATGGATTCAGTGCGTGAAGGCGGTCCATTGCAAGGGGGGTCGCGCCCGGCGGGGGGCAGCGCGCAACTCCACGCACAGCTCAGGGCCCCCCCCCCCCCCCCCCCCCCAACAGCGAGGCCCGGCCCCGCCCCCAGCTGTCAGCACCCCACCCTCCCCCACGGCCGGCCGGGAGAGGAGGAGCCCACAGGCGGCGCGCCGCGCCCTCCCCTCTCCTTGCGACCCATTGGCTGCGACGGCCTTTTGTTACCGTCGTCTTCCCTCCGCTATTGGTGAGAACCGCCGTCCGTCAGCGCTGTGGCGCCGCCCCCTTCCCGCTGGCTCCGGAGGTGGAAACTTTGGGGGCAGCGCAGCGTCGGCCCCACTCCGTTCCGCGCCGCTCCGCTCCGCTCCGCGCGGCCCCGCCCGCCCGCAGCCCCGCCCCGCCCCGCGCCGCTCGGCCCCGCGCGTCCGCTGAGCGCCGTGCCCCCGCTTTTTTAATCCCCTCTTTTTCTGTTGTTGTTGTTATTATTTTTATCTCCGATTTTTGTGGTTGTTGTTCATCATTTTTTTCTCGATTTCCCCCCCCCCCCCCCCACCCCCACATCCCGAGTGTTTTTGTTGCTGGTGGCGGCGGCGGTTTCGATTCTTTTTGTTGTTGTTGCTCGAATTCCTCCTTCGGATCTCCGCTCTCCCGCCAAGCCCGGCTCTCCGCGCAGGCCGCGGCCCGCGATGGGCGCGGTGGTGGCGGTGCGGCGGTGCGGGCGCTCCGCGGGGCGCTGAGCGGACGCGGAGCGGCGCGGGGCGCGCCATGGCCGCCAAGGACAACCCGTGCAGGAAGTTCCAGGCCAACATCTTCAACAAGAGCAAGTGCCAGAACTGCTTCAAGCCCCGCGAGTCCCACCTGCTCAACGACGAGGATCTCAACCAGGTGGGACCGGTCCCCAAATCCTCTCTTCCCCCCCCCCCCCCCAAATCCGCCTTTTGTCCTGTCGCTTCTGACACCCGAGTGCCGTGCGGTGGCTGTGGGAGCTGTGGGTATCACAGGATCTTGTGGGTGTTTGGTGGCCCTATGGGCAGCAGAGGGTCCCATAGGTGCTCGGTGGCCCTGTGGATAGCTCGGGGTCCTATGGGTAGCGTCGGGTCCTGTGTGTGCCTGGTGGTCCTATAGATTGTTCACCATACGGTTCTTAGGGTCCTGTAGGTACTTGATGGCTCAGGGCCCTATGGACAGGATAAGGTCCCTGAGGTGATTGGTAGCCCCATAGGTAGTGTGGGATCCTATGGATGCCATACGGTCCCATAGGTGCCTGGTAACCCTGTGGATAGTTCAGGATCCTATGGGTAGCATAGCGTTCCATTGGTGCTTGGTGGCCCCACAGATGGCTCAGGATCCTATGGATTGTATAGGGTTCTGTGGGTGCCTGTTGGCCCCCAGGGTATAGCCGGGGCTCCTATGGATAGCATGGAGTTCCATAGGTTCTTCCAGGCCCTGTGGATAGCCCAGGATCCTACAAATAGCATAGGGTCCTGTGAGTACCTGGTGGCCCCATAGATAGCTCAGGATCCTACTGATAGCATAACATCCCATGGGGCTGAGTGGCCCCATAGATAGCTTGGGGTTGTATGGAGAACATAAGATCTCTTTGTGCTGACCTCATAGTTAGCAGAGGGTCCTCTGGGATCTCTGGGGGTCCCGTGGATAGCATGATGCCCCATTGGTGCTCCCAACAACAACACGGGCTGTTATGGGTCGCAGGCGCCTGCTGAACCCATAAGTGTGCTGGGGCCCATGGATTCCTTGGGGAGGGGGGGAGGTTCAGGCACTCCATGGCTGATCCTTGCTCCCATAATTTGTCTGAAGATCCAGTGGGGATCCAGTGGCCCCATGGATAAATGCAGGTCCCATGGGAGCCCTTTGCCCCCTCTGGGTCCATGTCCATATTGGGATGTAACCAGCACAGCCCCCCTGGATCCTCTGGTCACAGCACCCTGCCCTATAACACCCCGGATTTCCTATGGAGGGCAGAAGGTGGCTCTAGGTTTTGGGGTTGTGGAGGGAGAAATGGGCCTTCCTCCTCCTCTTCCTTTTCCTCCTCAGAGCCTTTGCACACTCCTGTGGGGCAGCACCCAGCCCTATGGGGGGGGTTGAGGTGGGTGGGAGGGGGGATGCAGCCCCACGCTGCCCCCGTCCGGCACTGTGCTGGGGTGGGGGCTGCCATCTCTGCTCCCGATCCTATTATGGCAATGAGATCAGACATATTGCTGTGCTCGCTGGGGGCGGAGGGGGGGGGACGACACACCACATAATGAAATCTGAGGGCTAATATGGAAAAAATGTAACTGGAAAAAATGCCGTGCTGTGTGCGGGAAGGGGCGGGCGGCCATGCCCAGACAAAGGAGAGTCCTTGGGGGTGAACGGGGTGAGACCCCACCATCTGGTTGTCCCCTCACGGGGTTCCACTGCCATCATATTGCTTTTAGGAGGGGGAGCCACAGCGCTGCACGCTGCCGCCTGCAGCAGAGAGTGCAGGGGACTGGGGGAGAGGCCCCCGGTCTCTTGCTTTGTCCTGGGAGGTCCGAAAGGGGAGGTGGTTCCAGAGATCAGGGTCACCCCGGGGATCAGATCTGTGCCCAGCTTTGGGGCTTTCACTGGGGAAAGCGTTGCGATCTCACTCAGCTTCTCCCCCGCAGCCTGGGCAGAACGATCCCACCGCTCCCCGATAAGATGGAGGCTCTGGAGCGTGTGATGCACGCAGCCGCGGCCCCGCTGCTTCCAGCGGCGCTTTGGGGTCTGTGCTCTGCTGTGAGCACCCGTGTGTGGTGGGCTCCAGGCACCCGGTGTGACAGCATGGCACAGCTCCCCATCCCCACTTCTATTGATTTTATTATTATTATTATTATTATTACTATTTTGGTGATCATTGTGACTTTTAATCCCCACGCGGGTGCCGGGAGCCCCGCTGCCCGTTGGCGACCCATCGCAAACCTTTGGCGGTATTGGTGGGTTGGGATTGGTGCCCCAAAGGCAGCCCCCAGCCCAGGATTAGCTGCAGATCCCGGTAATCGGGCTTCAAAGGGCTGCTGGGCTCTAAGTCCCAAATCCTGCTCTGTTCACGAGTTGTTTGTGTGGGTTCGGTGCAGTGCAGGGCGGCCCCATGGGTGCCATGGGAAAACATGGGTGGGGGTTGCTGTGCTCCCCCCCCGGTGTGAGCTGCAGCCCTGATCTCAGTGTGTAGTGCTGCCTCGTTCCCTATGATCCTCATTTTGGAGTTTCTCAGCTTCCTGGTGGGGTGCATTGGAAGCTGGACCCCCTCAGCTCCTGTAGTCTGTAGGGAAAATGAAGCCCCACGATGGGAATTGACTTCAGCATCACACTTGGTCTGGATGGGAGGAGAGCAGAACGTAGCTCCGTCGCTTTAATTCTCCCTTGGGGCACAGGACTGGCACAGAGCAGGAACTTGAGGATGCCATCCCAGCTCCCCGTGTCTTATTGCCCTTATTTTTGGCATGGGCATCCCAAGGACCACCCAGCAGGAACGTGGCACTCGCAGACTTTTCCCACCACCATCCCCAGCAGCAAGTTTGAATATTTTCACGGCCCTCCTTTAGACATTATTTCTTTCCTTCTGTTCTGGACACCAAACAGCCAGATGGGAAGCGGCAGCTTCGGGTGCCCCACTGCTGGCTGTGTGAGCACCAGAACTTTGCTTTAGGGCCTTGTGTTGATGCAGCTGTGCGGGCAGAGGGCTCATGTCCCTGGGGATGAGTGGGGCTGGCGCAGTGTGCTGGCCCCAGTGCGTTGTCTTGCACCTATGGGGCTGTGTGACCCCCAGTCCCTGCTCTGCGTGTTGCTGCGGGGCAGCAGGGGAGGGGTTGTATCCTGGGCGTGCTTTCACCTCCACCCCCTACTCAGTGTGGGAGGAGAAGCCCCCTTGTTCCTGGAAAGCAGCCCCCGCTGTATCACGCTGCAAAAATCTGCCTGTCATTCACTAATGGTTTGAGCCGAACAGGGGAAGGTTCTCTGCAAATGTCAAAGCTGCCTGCGCCAGCTGCTGCTGCCAGCAGGAATTTGGGAGCAGGGCAATGCCCGGTGCCCCATGCCCTGCAATCCTACATCGGGGAGCCCTGGCCCCTTTGCAAGTTTACGCACTGCTGTTGGTCTGCACGGCGCCGCTCCTTATCTGCTGTGGCACCCAAGGAAGCGATAAATCCCCGCTCCTGCACTTGGAGCTGCTGCTGCTGCTCAGTGCTGGGGGAGTGCTGCTGCAGGGCACGGCCGTGTGCCTTGGGGCGGGTTTGCAGGGTCCTTTCCCCCACCCCGTAGCTGTGCTGTGCAGATATGGTTTTGTGGGAGAGGCTGCACGCTGCTGTGCCTGCATACCTAGCTGCCACCACTCGTGGGGTTGCTACTGAGGGGTGACTCCCATGGGCTGAGTGCTGCAGGGCTTTGTGGTCCTTGCTGCATCCCCTGGCAGCAGGCAGAGCACAAAGCAGCACCAATCCATTCTTGCGAGCAGTGCTAAAGGGAGGGCAGCCTGCTTCGCTGTCATGCCTCTTTCTCACCCCAATGCTGTGACATCTTCCCCATTCCAGCTTGCCCGCAGAGACAGATGAGCTGTGCAGAGCTGCAGGTGCCCAGGTTCCCTATTTGCGGTTGGTGGTGCTGACCTCTTGAGCTGTGCCAGGAAAGGAGGCAACAAACAGGGATCTTGTAGTCGGTGCCCGACTCATTGGGTTGCTTCTGCCTCCACGAAGGTTACTGCTGTTTGGTTTTAGGGGAGATGTGTGCATCTGTGTGGGCTGGGGCTGATGGCGCAGCTCTGCCTGGGGCAGCAATATCCTCATGGTGCCAGCCTGTGTCTGGCCCCATCACCCAGCTCCACGTGCTGTCACAGAATCATAGAATCGAATCACAGAGTCATTAATGTTGGAGAAGACTTCTCAGAACACCACGTCCAACTGCTGAGCCATCCCCCCCGTGCCACCAAACCTCGTCCCCATGCCACGTGCACACAGCCCCATTCCAGGGCCCTGCGCTGCCCATTGGCAAGGAGTGACCTGGCACTGCCCCACAGCTCTGGGGATGTGTGAGGGTTCTTCGTTACCCCAATCCAGGAGCTGTGCTCAGAAGCTGTGCGTCCCCATGGAGTAGAAGGACAGACGGACGCAGTGGCTGGGGCAGGGTGTGGGTAACCAAGAGCAGGGGATGGGCACAGCACAGCCCCCAGCAGGGCACCCCACCGGGCTGTGAAGCTAAGCAGGGCCAGGCAGGGTGGGGGGCGGGATGGGTACCTGGGTGTGCCGCAGAGGTGCGACCGGAAGCGGCGCGGTGACGCCGGGGCGTTGCTGCCTGAGTCAGCTCTGCCGGTCCCACGGGGCTGTGGGGCTCCCACCCGGCACAGCACCATCCCTGTGCCCCTCTTCACGGCCGGGTGGCTCCTTCAGCACCCCCGGCCCATTGGCTTCATCACTGGAGAAACCGGCTCTGGTCTTCTGCCCACCCCAGGAATACTAGGATTGCTGCAACCTTGCCCTCTGGATCTGCTCAGATAGGGAAGTCTCGCTCTGAGCCGTGCCCACGGACCTTATTTTAACCCAATGCAGGTGCAGTGGATTTATTCTGGGCACAGTGTGTGCTCACATCCTTCTATTTGTGCCTCTCCGGGCACCGCTTTTGGCAGCAGTTTGTTTGGGTTTGGCTTTAAAAAGCGCTTCTCTGCGGGGGGACAGAGCTGGGCTGCCCATGCGCTGGGTGCTAACTTGTACCTTGTGGCTGTTTGGGTTTTGGTATCTGCAATCGGTCTTCCGATTGTGCTGTGTTAAGGCTGTGTATTTCAGGTGCTGGAAAAGGCTGTGGCAAAATGGGTTTGGTGGGGCTGGGTGAGACCAGGAGGGGTTCTGACCCCAGTGGTGATGGTATGGGGTTATTTCATCCCTGTGTATGGGTCTGGTACAGTGGGGTTTGCTTGTGGAGGTGGCTCTGAGGGGTTGGAAGGGGACATGGGGGACAAAGGAGGGCTCGGTGCTTTGTGGTGGTGATGTTGGAGACGCTGTGTGCCGCTTCCTCCATCCTCTTCTTCCTTCTTGGCCATGATAGCACCTCCAGAACAGACTCAATGCATGTGCTTTTCATGGGGAGCTCCGTGCCCCTGTGCGCCATTCCTACAAGCACAGACTCACCTTGAGTTACTCAATATTTCGCAATTTTGCTTTTTTTTCCTCCCAGCTCCAAAGTCCCAGTGTGGGCACAGGGCTGGGTGGTGTCACAGCACGGCTGGGTGGGGCTGTGCTGTGGGGCAGAGTGGGCAGGAGGTGGTGTGGGGTCTGTGAGTCCCTGCAGGGCTGGGGGCAGCAGTGCCATCGGGGCCATTTGGTGCAGGTGATGCTCCAGGAAATGCCACCCCTAAAGGGGCTGTAGGCTTTAAGGGATTGTGTTATTACTTCCCACTTTACAAGGAGTGAAAGGACTGCTCATCTGGTTTGTTCCCACTTTGCTTGCTTGGTACTCCACGCGTTTGGCTGTTTTTGGTGCATAGGCAGTTTCTTCTATTGTTCACAGGGATTTTTCCAGAGGGGAAACTATTTTTTTTTTTTTTCTTTAGCATTACAAAACCACAGCAACTGGCAGGAGGGATCTCAGGGAGGTACTGCATTGGACACTGATTTAAGAGAAAAAATAATAAAAAGGAGAAGAATGAAAGCGAACAGCTTAACCAGAGTGTTTCAAGAGGTGGTGGGAACGTGGAGTTCTTTGCCCCGTCCTGGTGTGGCAGCTCCAGCTGATCCCTCTCTGCTCTTTTCTTTCAGGCCAAACCCATTTACGGTGGCTGGCTGCTGCTGGCCCCTGAAGGAACGGACTTTGACAATCCTGTCCATCGCTCTCGGGTAAGGGACACCCTGTGGGTGCTGGGGGGGTGGGGTGGGACGGGACGGGGCGATGATGCTGCGCCCATCCCCTTGTGCAAGACAGGGAGGTTTCCTGCTGCAGGGTTCTTTCTGCTGGGCGTGCAGTTTGCTGGGCTGGAGCACCGCAGAGCCTGCTGCATTCAAGCAGTGTGAAGTTACTGCTGGCTGCTGTTGTGTTTTGGTACCTTGATGCTCAGCTGCCCAAATGGGTTGCTGCTAGAGCTCGAGCCTTGCAGCACTGCAACCATGTGAGCAGAGTTGGAGCATCCTCTACATCCCTGCCCTGTCCTGCAGCTGGAGGCTCCCATTCCTGCCACCAGTAAAAATCTCTCCCCCCTTACTGGATTCTGGGTTCAGCCCAGGCGTTACTGGGAGTCATGGCTCACAGGGACATGGGACTGTGGTTCACTGGAACCTCAGTGGTTTTGCTGTTCCTGAGCACCTTGGACTTTGCCTGAAGGGCTGAGAAAAACAAGATAAGAATTGCTGCACTGGGGCTATGAATCTGTGATCTTTTTTTTTATTTTTTTTTCCTCTTTCAAATTTCAGCCTGCTCAACCAGTTTTTGCTCTGGGCTGCAAACAGGCTGGCACGCACAGAAAGGCCCTTTCCAGGCAGATCAGGGCTCTGATCTGGTGCGCATGGCCATGCTGAGAGAGGGCTGGGGGGGGCTCTGCATCATGCTGGAGCTCTGCTGGGGGATGTCCTGCGTTGTGACCCCAGCTTTGTGGGCTGGCACTGCCATGACTCCCTTTACTGTCTTCTCTTGCAGAAATGGCAGCGCCGATTCTTCATCCTCTACGAGCACGGGTTGCTGCGCTACGCCCTCGACGAGATGGTGAGTGCTGCGTGGCCACGGCGTTGCTGCTGGTGAGAACCTGCAGTGTTGGTGCTGCTCCCGGAGCGTGGCACCAGGCCGATGTCCTGTGGTGTCCCGTGGAGCTGGATGGCCAAGCCCACGTGTTGGAGGGCTCAGTTTTGGTATAAACCAGCAGTGGGAATGTGCTGCTGACAGATCTGGCACTGGTGTGGAGTGCTGATCCTCAGGTTCCCCACCCCCCCCCAGCTCCTTCCCATCCTGCTGCTTGGTGCTGGGGAGGGTTTGGTGGTGGAGGATCACCATGGCTGTTCCTGGGGAGGAGGCTGTGTGTGGTGCTGGTGTAAAGTAGGTCAGGCGGAACGCGGAACGCCTTCGTGCTGCTCATCCTTCCTGGGAGCCGTGTCTGCCCCCACTGCTCTGGGAGCAAAATGAGGGAGGGAGGAAGGAAAGCAGCTCTTCTATCCATTGTGAGCTGCCAGGTAGGCTGCTGAGCCTGAGGAGGGTCAGCCTTGCTGTGCCCACCTGTGGCTGCCTGTTGGCAAAATGAAGCACGCAGCAGGTTGCATGGGGTTTGGCACAGCACAGCCTGATCCTGAGTGCTGGGGTGCTCCTGGGTGAGAGGCTCGTGGAGCCGGGTGCACTGGGGTGCAGGGCATGCATGCACGTGGGGTGAGGTGTAGGAGTGCAGGGCGCTTCTCCAGAGCAATGCCTTCTGTTGTTTGTTTGTTTGTATTTTTTTCTTGGAGTTGCTCCAAGTCCCGTAAATAATTTAAACATCTCCATTCAGAGCTGCGGAGGCTTTTGATGCATTTGTAGTGCGACAACAACCTGTGCTGGGCTGCTGTTTGGTGTTCTACAAACAAAGCGCAGAGAAATGCCTCGAGGAGAGAGTTGGGAAATATGATGTTTGTGGGTTTTTTTGCTGTATTGCATCCCATCATGACTGCCCATGGCACTGCTGCCCCTGGGCAGGAGCAGTGCCTCAGCCCCATTCTGTGCACTCGTGTCCCCGTGATGCAGGAGAATGTCACTGGAGAGTGTGCTGAGGGCTGGGGAGCGTTGTGCAGCTCCCTTGGGCTGCCTGGGAAGGAAAAAAAGTGAGGGGGAAAAAAACAGCAGAAAGGGTGTGTGAGGGGAGCATTACCTCTCCTGCTGGCTCCTTGCACTGAGCATCACAGGAGGAGGGCAGGGAGTATCCTCAGCATGGCCTTAGATGGAGGAGATGGAGCTGCTCCCCTGGGGACCAGGGGTCTGACACATGGTGTAAAAATACCCCCCTGACCTTTCTGCACATCACGTCCCTGTGCTGGCTCTGCTAATGCCCGTGGCACTGGAGCATCCCTGCCCACAGTGTGCCCCACGCCAGGGCAGCATTGCACTGCCAGTGCTGGAGCTATGCAGGGAGGAGCTGATTCCCTTGGGGCGAGACCCAGAATGTGACAGCAGTATCACCTCTTGCTGTCCCTTGTGACTGAGAGCATCAGCTTCCCCAGGTGCTTTCTGCATTTGCTTTGCTCTGATGTGTGCTGTAGGTTCCCCTATGGCGGTTCCCAGTGTGTAGCTCAGATGATGTCGTGGTTCTGATGGGTTTGGGACCCTCTTCCACCATATCAAGGGAGGCTCAGGTTGGATGTTAGGGAAAATGTCTTCTCTGAAGGCAGGCATTGGAACTGCTGCCCGTGGAGGTGGTGGAGTCACTGTCCCTGGAGGTGTTCCAGAATCATGGAAATGTGGCACTGAGGGACATGGTTTGGTGTCATGGTGGGGATGGGTCGATGGTCGGACCTGATCTTAGGGATCTTTTCCAATCTTGGTGATTCTGTGACCCCACAGCAGCAGTCAGGGATGACTGAGTAATGGGGAATGGCCGTGTGCAGGTCAGAGATCCTATGTGGGATGCAAAGACTGAGCTCTATTCCTGCCCCCCACCTTGGGCTGGAACTGTGGGGGGACACTGGTTTGTCCTCAAGATCTCACCTGTGCCTATGGCTCCACAGCAGAACCAGGGCTTCTCCCAGGGAGGTGCTGCTGTTTTGCTCAGGGAGGGATCCCCATTGCAGGAATGATTCCCCTCACTGTGCTCCTGGAGGTCCTGTGGTGGGGGGACATGGCAGCGTGCTGGGAGCTGGGCGGCAGCTGGGCAGGGACCTCCCAGGAGGTGGATTGAATTGCTCTGCCCTGAACCTGTTAGACATTAATTGTGTGGGTTTGGCAATTTCTGCTTTATTGAAAATGAGGAGGGGAGGAAGGCGTGGGATGCAGAGGGTTGGGGCTGAGCTCCCCATTGGCAGCGCTGGCCTCCTCTTCCTCCCCCTGACCATCAGCAAAGGGCACATCTGGTTCTGAGCTGGGGTCAGCAGCTAATGAGCCACTGCTCTGCAAGTGGGAGCGGGGCAGAGGGCTATGCTGGGATCCCACAGCTCACTGCTGGGATTGAGGGAAGCTCTGGGGATCACCCAGGGGTGCACACAGGGCAGATGCCACAGGCATTGGGATGGGCCAAGTGCCCAGAACCTCCTCTGTGCACCAGGAGCCCCAAATACTGCCAAAATCCCATCAGTGGGACAGGGCGTGCATGCGGGGAAGGCACCGGTTTGGAAGCAGAGAGGTCTAAGAAGTCTGCTTTGGCACTGCAGTCCCCTGCTGAGCCACTGGCTGGACTGGGGCTGTTTGTTGTTTTTTTTTTTTTTTTTTCTTTCCTCTTTTTTTGCTTTTTTTTCCTCCTTCTTTTTCTAGTTTGCAGCCCCAGGCTGCTGCATGCTGTTTTTACAACTGACCCAAACAGTTGCAATGCACCCATAAAAAGCACCCAGCCCTGAGCACCCTGCTCTCTGTGCTCCAGCATCAGTGCACACGGGGCTCACCAGGACCCCGCAGGGGGAATGAGTCCCTGTGTGTGCCCATCTCCTTCCCCTCCAGCCGCAGTCCCGGCGTGCAGCAGCGTGCCAGCAGGCTGCTCCCAGCTCCGCTGAGCCCTAGGGAAGCTGAGCCTGCTCCAACCTGCATGCATTCCTCACTCCCCTCGGCAGAGGCTGGGTGCTCAGGGTTTGTTCAGTGTTGCATTCCATACTGAACAGCCTCTCGGTTGCTTGTGCTGTGGTCCCATGAGCTGCGTTCCCCACTTTCCCCTTTGTGAGTTATTTCCCCATAGTTTGAAGTTAAAGGACCAAGAAGCTCCAGGAATTAAGCTAAGCCAAATGCACCCAAGGCATTGTTCTGGAGGTGAAAGAGGCACCCAGGAGGAGTGCAGAGTTTGATCCCTTGCCCTCTTTGGTTTCAGATATCCTGAAGCCCTCAGCCCATAGTCCTGCCATGATCTGGGGCTGCTGGTACCTGAGGGGAGGAGCAGGAACCCATGCCATGGTTCTGTCCCAGCAGCCTCATCCCAGCACCTTTTGTCAGAGGGGGGTGGAGTGTGGACAGCATCCAACAGCAAGTGCAGTTTGGTTGCAGAGCGTTTACCCCCTTCTGTTGCAATGACTGCTGCCTATAATTAGCTGTAGGTCTATTAATAGAGCCCTGCTGCATGGGAATGGTGCGGTGGAAAGGCAGCACGGGGTGGGCAGTGGTCTCAGTCCTACCCCTCGCTGGGACTGTGGGTAATGCCAAGGTGAGAGCATCTTCTGGGTGGGCCGGAGGACCAATGGGCATGGTTCCTTGTGCACATCCCCAGCATGGGAGGGATTGGGGTCACAGCTGGAACCCTGCAGCTCTCTGCCCCTAGGAGCCTGTGCAGGAGCTGTGGATGGGAGAACTCAGCCTGGTGGCAGAGAGGGACCCAAGCAGGAGGGGTGTCCAAACATGGTGATGCGTAGCTGCGTGTAATTACTATTTCCTAATCGACCACCTCCCCAGCACACCCCGATTTTTCTTTCTTCAGAAGTAAAGGGGCACATTTAAAAATGTCACCCTCAGCAGATCTGTGCCATGATCACTTTCGTCCTCGCTCCCCCTCCTTTGTCACCAATATTTTGAGAAGCCAAGAGAGTCTGCGTGTGTTTTTTTCCTCCTCGTTAGATCAAAGCGCTTTACTTCAGTCTTGGCATGGAATGGAAATTCATTGGCAGGGATTAAAAAACGAACCTTCAACATCCTGGCCCCTCCGTCCTTACTTTTTTTCCACCCGTTTTTTTTTGCCATTGAAGCAGTTCCAGGCTTGCCCTGCCCCCTCCGCCGACGAGCACAGGGTTGGGTGAGCCCATGCTCCCTTTGCATGCGGCTTTTCCCCCCTCAGACACGGTTTTGCTGCTGCCTCTGCTCGCCAGATCTTGGAGACTTTCAGTTTCTGTTCGGCATGAAGAGCTTTTGGCTGGAATCAGAGCGCGTTTCGGATTTCAACAAGCTGAGACGAAAAGGGAGAGGAGCAAAGCAGCTGCGAGATGGGCAGCAGTGGTGGGAAGAGAAAGGGAGATGATGCGTTTGGGGGGGGGGGGGGGAAGGTGCTGTGTAGGGATGTTGAGTGCTTATGTGAAAAGGGTTGCTTTAGAAATGGGGAAGTGTTGGGGGGGATCCAGGAGGAGCAATCTGTTCTCCTCCAGGGTTGTTGGGAAAAGAAGGGATCAGTGATGTTGGGATGCAAAGATCAAGAGCAGCCTTGTCAGAACACGTGGCACTGCTGCCCAGAGTGATGGGTGCCCATCCCTGGTGGTGCCCACGGCCATGGATGGGGCCGTGGGCAGCCTGGCTGGTGGAGGCAGCCAGCCCACGGTTGCAATTGGGTGATCTTTAAGGTCCCTTCCAACCCAGTCATTCTGTGATTCTCACAAAGGCTCTGCAGGAGGTGTAGAGATGGGTGGTGGTCCCAATAAAGCTCAGAGGTCTTTGGTTAATGTTGTGTTTAATGCCCAGCATTGTTTTTTGGGAGAAAAGCCTGGAAGCTACCAGGAGCTACCTGCTGAAGCCAGGCCTGAGCTGGGACCGGGCAGGAGGGTGGGAGGTTTGGAGAGTTAGCAGAAATGTGGAGCTGGGAGAGCAGGATGCAGCCAGTGACCTCCTCATTAGCTTGCAGCTTTGATGAC